ACCCAGATATCAGGGACATCTGCTTTGGAGAATGGGGTTCTTTCCCTTGGATTGATCATCAAATCCAAGGGATCCAAGAGGAATGGAGGCAATGCTCTCCTGACCTAAGAGACTTAGCAGGAGGCTCGTGTCTTTCCCCTCCATCTGTGCTCCCCGCACCAACATGTAATCCTCCTTCCACACCGCTAATCCAATAGCAGTCAACCCCATCCTCCTATTCCCTCGGCAAAGGCTGATCTCCGCTTAGTCGAGCATCAGCTGATCCTCTCTGCAGCCAACCTTGTCTGAGCCACGGGGACTTTTTCGATTCCTTGGAAGCAGAACCCTCCCTACTCTTCCCAGGGTCCTTCCTGTTCCACGTATCCACCGACTGGAGAAAACCTCAAGCTGCCGCTTTTGTGCGAAAGTCGCTTCCCTTTGCCCCTGTGAAAAGATAAAAGGGGCATCTTTGTCAAAATGTGGTTCCGACAAGTCGTGAAGGACGTCTAAGGAACGGAGGACTGCAACAGCAGAACAAAGCTTTTGAGAACATTTGGATACGCAGGGATTTCATGCTAATCTGCCCTTCTCTCGGGCCTCGTTGACACAGCCACATACTGCAGTTCAATGCCGTCAAACTGTATTACACAGTAGGGAAATGGACGTTGCCCATCAACAATGCAATGTTGGCTGTTATCCCAGCTGCAATGCAAAGTTTGTTGGCAGAGTGCAATCTCAAAAAAGCAACCTACAGCTATTAACTTTTCAAAGTACCGTATATACTTGAGTATAAGCCAACCCAAATATAAGCCGAGGCACCTAATTTTACCACTTCCAACATAGTAACAGGCAAACACTCAATGCCTATATAAACAGAGCAGAGCCAGATATAGATCTATAATTATATATACTAATTTTACATGTGCATTTTGCCCTGAAACGTTTGCAAATCCTTTCTCTATATATGTGCAATTTCCTCTTGCAGTATTTGCAAGTCCTATATATCTATCTTTATATCTAGACATCTCTCTCTCTATGTGTATGTGTGTGCATTTCCCCTGGAATATGTTTGCAAGCCCTATATATTTATATTCATATCTATCTAGGTAAAGGTAGTCCCCTGACATTAACTCCAGTCATGTCTGGGGTGTGGTGCTCATTTCCATTTCTAAGCCGAAGAGCTAGCGTTGTCCGTAGACACCTCCAAGGTCATGTGGCCGGCATGACTGCATGGAGCACCGTTACCTTCCCGCCGGAGCATACCTATTGATCTACTCACATTTGCATGTTTTCGAACTGCTAGGTTGGCAGAAGCTAGGGCTGACAGCGGAAGCTCACGCCACTCCCCGGAATTGAACCTGCAACGTTTCGATCAACAAGCTCAGCAGCTCAGTGCTTTAACCCACTGCGCCACCGGGAGCTCCTCATATCTATCTAGACATGTCTATATTTGTGTGTGTATTTCCCCTGGATATTTTTGCAAGCCCTATATATTTATATTCATATCTATCTAGACATATCTATATTTGTGTGTGCATTTCCCTCCTGCAATATTTGAAACCCCTATACATCTCTCTATATGTGTGTGAGAGAGAGCATTTCCCATGCAATATCTGCAAGCCCTATATATCTATATTCGTATCTATCTAGACATGTCTATATATATTTGTGTGCATTTTCCTCTTGCAATATTTGCAAGCCACATCCTGGAAAGAAGTGACGAGCGGAGTGCCATCAGCAGGGTTCCGTCCTGGGCCTGGTCCTGTTCAACATCTTTATTAATGACTTAGATGAAGGGCTAGAAGGCAGGATCATCAAGTTTGCAGACGACACCAAATTGGGAGGGAGAGCCAAGACTCCAGAGGACAGGAGCAGGACTCAAAGGGATCTTGACAGATTAGAGAGATGATTGGGCAAAACTAACAAAATGAAGTTCAACAGTGACAAATGCAAGATACTCCACTTTGGCAGAAAAAATGAAATGCAAAGATACAGAATGGGGGACAATGCCTGGCTCGAGAGCAGTACATGTGAAAAAGATCTTGGAGTCCTTGTGGACAACAAGTTAAACATGAGCCAACAATGTGATGTGGCAGCAAAAAAAGCCAATGGGATTTTGGCCTGCATAATAGGAGCATAGTGTCTAGATCTAGGGAAGTAATGCTACCCCTCTATTCTGCTTGGTTAGACCACACCTGGAATATTGTGTCCAATTCTGGGCACCACAATTCAAGAGAGATATTGACAAGCTGGAATGTGTCCAGAGGAAGGCGACTAAAATGATCAAGGGTCTGGAGAACAAGCCCTATGAGGAGCGGCTTAAGGAGCTGGGCATGTTTAGCCTAAAGAAGAGAAGGCTGAGAGGAGATATGATAGCCATGTATAAAGATGTGAGAGGAAGCCACAGGGAGGAGGGAGCAAGCTTGTTTTCTGCTTCCTTGGAGACTAGGACGCGGAACAATGGCTTCAAACTACAAGAGAGGAGATTCCATCTGAACATGAGGAAGAACTTCCTGACTGTGAGAGCCGTTCAGCAGTGGAACTCTCTGCCCCGGAGTGTGGTGGAGGCTCCTTCTTTGGAAGCTTTTAAGCAGAGCCTGGATGGCCATTTGTCAGGGGTGATTTGAATGCAATATTCCTGCTTCTTGGCAGGGGGTTGGACTGGATGGCCCATGAGGTCTCTTCCAACTCTTTGATTCTATGATTCTATATATATATATATATATATACACACACACACACACACACACACACACACGCATTCCCTAGACATCTCTCTATATATGTGTGAGAGAGCATTTCCCCTGCAATATCTGCAAGCCCTATATATCTATATTCATATCTATCTAGACATGTCTATATTTGTGCGTGCATTTCCCTCCTGCAATATCTGCAAGCCCTATATATATATATAGACATCTCTCTCTATATGTGTGTCTGAGAGCATTTCCCCTGCAATATCTGCAAGCCCTGTATATTCGTATCTATCTAGACATTATATATATTTATGTGTGCATTTCCCTCCTGCAATATTTGCAAGCCTATATATATATATATATATATATATATATATATATATATATATATATATTTATTCTTTTAATTTATTTATTTATTTATTTATTGTGTCAGGAGTAACCAGACATTTGTATTACGTTTTTAACAAAACAAACAAACAGACAAAACACAAGTTTGCAAGCTTGGTAGTTGATTAAATGTCCTTTGACCAGTATCTGGCCACTTGGAGTGCCTCTGGTGTTGCCGCAAGGTCCTCCATTGTGCATGTGGCAGGGCTCGGTGCATTGCAGCAGGTGGTCAGTGGTTTGCTCTTCTCCACACTCGCATGTCATGGATTCCACTTTGTGGCCCCATTTCTGAAGGTTGGCTCTGCATCTCGTGGTGCCAGAGCGCAGTCTGTTCAGTGCCTTCCCAGTCGCCCAGTCCTCTGTGTGCCCAGGGGGGAGTCTCTCATTTGGTATCAGCCATTGGTTGAGGTTCTGGGTTTGAGCCTGCCACTTTTGGACTCTCGCTTGCTGAGTGTTCCAGCGAGTGTCTCTGTAGATCTTAGAAAACTATTTCTAGATTTAAGTCATTGACGTGCTGGCTGATACAAACAGGGGATGAGCGGGAGATGTCACTGCCTTGGTCCTTCCACTATTGGGTGCTACTTCCCGGCGGATGTCAGGTGGTGCAATACCAGCTAAACAGTGTAATTTCTCCAGTGATGTAGGGCGCAGACACCCCATGATATTGTGACAGGTCTCATTAAGAGCCACATCTACTGTTTTAGTGTGATGAGATGTGTTCCACACTGGGCATGCGTACTCAGCAGCAGAGTAGCATAGCGCAAGGGCAGATGTCTTCACTGTGTCTGGTTGTGATCCCCAGGTTGTGCCAGTCAGCTTTCGCATGATATTGTTTCTAGCACCCCCCACTTTTTGCTTGATGTTCAGGCAGTGCTTCTTGTAGGTCAGAGCACGGTCCAGAGTGCCTCCCACAGGTATGTGGGTGCGCTGCAATGCTCCAGTGGGATTCCTTCCCAGGTCATCCTCAGAGCCCCCAGTAGCACAGTGGGTTAAACCCCTCTGCTGTCAGGACTGAAGACCGACAGGTCACAGCTTCGACTCAGGGGAGAGCACAGATGAGCTCCCTCTATCAGCTCCAGCTCCTCATGCGGGGACATGAGAGATGCGTCCCACAAGGATGATAAAAACATCAAAACATCTGGCCGTCCCCTGGGCAACGACCTTGCAGATGGCTAATTCTCTCACACCAGAAGCTACTTGCAGTTTCTCAAGTCACTCCTGACACGACAAAAAAAGTTATTATTATTATTACTGTATATACTCGAGTATAAGCCTAGTTTTTCAGCCCTTTTTTTAGGATGAAAAAGCCCCCCTCGGCTTATATTTGAGTCAAGGTTATTTATTATTTTACTCTGTTAGAAATACATAATAAATTTATTGTTATTGTTGTTGTTGTTATATTGATCATTCTACTTTACTATTGTTTTTATTATTACATTTATTATTTTACTATATTATTATTAGTATTACAACATTTATTATTTTACTATATTATTATTATTATTAGTATTATAACATTTATTATTTAACTCTATTTTTATTGGAAGGATGTGCAAGCACATTTACATTGAGGAAGGTTCGAATAATGGTTTAATCAGAGTTCCACAGTCTTATCTTAAATTATAGTTTTATGAAAATATTCAAAACATTTAACCTACCGATGCCTCAATTAATGTAATTGTATTGTATCTATTTTTATTTTGCATTTCCCACCCTCGGCTTATACTCGAGTCAATACGTTTTCCCAGGTTTCTTTTGGTAAAATTTGGTGCCTTGGCTTATATTCGGGTCGGCTTATACTCGAGTATATATGGTATATTATTATTATGCAGTCATGCCAGCCACATGACCTTGGAGGTGTCTACGGACAACGCTGGCTCTTCGGCTTAGAAATGGAGATGAGAACCACCCCCCCAGAGCTGGACACGACTAGACTGAATGTCACCTTTACCTTTATCTTTTACGCAGCAGCCAATTACATGCCAAGAAAGAGAATTCCCAATGATGACAAATGAGACATTTTTCTTTTCGAGGAGGCAATGATCCCTCCGCTGCATGATTTTAATGGAATTCCAAGTTGCCGCAGCCCTTGCCTTCATCGTCATTGTTGGAAAGCCATGTGTCCCAGTGCTCCCCATTCACCATGGCTCTGAATTTCAAATCTGATACAGAACCGGGGCAATAACAACAGTGATTCCCAAACCCATGCAGAAATACTGCGGTCAGCGGCTCCCTAGGAAACAAAGGCATCCATTCCTCTGTGACGGGGGCCATTACAACCTGCTTCACAATCCCTGATGTGGAGTGAATGCCTGAGACATGATCCACAGACATGTTTGGGGGGCAACGGGTATCCTCCGACGTCAATACCAAGAAAAATAAAGGGAGGGGATTGCTGAGCCTCCTTAAGGCAAGGATGCAGCAAGGAAACACTCTCAGACACAAGGTACAGCGGGCCTCAAATCGCCACCGCTCGGCTGCTGAACACTTTGGGGGCGCACGGCCCCAATGCGCCCGCACACATGTACACACATGCAGCCGGGCCCCTTCCACCCAGAAGTGCCACCGACATTTAATCCCAAGGTCTCCCTCCTGGACGAGGCAAGCTCCCAAAGCGCTCATCAGCCCACGATGATGCTGAAACCGCAATGGAACCGGTGTTTCCAGTGGTTGAGGAAGGCACCCAAGGCCAAAGTGACGGGCAGCGGGGGCAGCTTCTTCTCCAGGATGGCCCCCACACACCAGCTACTGTCCAGGAAGCCTGGAAAGGGGGAAAAGGAAAAGGTTCAGAAAGCAACCATAGTCATGATAATATTTGACCTGTTTGAGAGAGTCCTCAGTGTGAGAAGGGTGCAGTGGGAGAAAGGCCTCAGTGTGAGGTATGCCTCAGTATGAGAAGGCCTCAGTATTAGTTCGCCTCAGTGTAAGAAAGGTGTCTGTCTGAGAGAGGCCTCAGTGTGTGAGAAGGCTGCAGTGGGAGAAAGGCCTCAGTGTGAGGTAAGCCTCAACGTTAGTAGGTCTCAGTATGAGAAGGCTTCAGTGTTAGTTCACCTCAGTGTGAGGAAGGCATCTGTCTGAGAGAGTCCTCAATGTGAGAACGCTGCAGTGGGAGAAAGGCCTCAGTGTGAGGTATGCCTCAGTATGAGAAGGCCTCAGTATTAGTTCGCCTCAGTGTAAGAAAGATGTCTGTCTGAGAGAGCCCTCAGTGTGTGAGAAGGCTGCAGGGGGAGAAAGACCTCAGTGTGAGGTAAGCCTCAACGTTAGTAGGTCTCAGTACAAGAACGCTTCAGTGTTAGTTCACCTCAGTGTGAGGAAGGCGTCTGTCTGAGAGAGTCCTCAATGTGAGAACGCTGCAGTGGGAGAAAGGCCTCAGTGTGAGGTATGCCTCAGTATGAGAAGGCCTCAGTATTAGTTCYCCTCAGTGTAAGAAAGYTGTCTGTCTGAYAGAGCCCTCAGTGTGTGAGAAGGCTGCAGGGGGAGAAAGACCTCAGTGTYAGGTAAGCCTCAATGTTAGTAGGTCTCAGAATAAGAAGGCTTCAGTGTTAGTTCACCTCAGTGTGAGAAAAGRGTCTGTCTGAAAGAGTCCTCAGTGTGAGAACGCTGCAGTGGGAGAAAGGCCTCAGTGTTAGGTAGGCCTCTGTGTTATTAGGCCTCAGTATGAGAAGGCCTCAATGTTAGTTTGCCTCAGTGTGAGAAATGTGTCTGTCTGAGAGAGCCTTCAGTTTGAGAAGGCTGCAGTGGGAGAAAGGCCTCAGTGTTAGTAGGCCCCAGTATGAGAAGGCCCCAGTGTTAGTTCGCTTCAGTGTGAGAAATGCAATATTCTTTGAATACAATATTCCTGCTTCTTGGCAGGGGGTTGGACTGGATGGCCCATGAGGTCTCTTCCAACTCTATGATTCTATGATTCTATGAAATGTGTCTGTTTCAGAGAGTCCTCAGTGTGAGAAGGGTGCAGTGGGAGAAAGACCTCAGTGTGAGGTAGGTTTCAACGTTAGTAGGCCGCATCTCCGTTTATGAACCCACGCGTTCCCTTCGTTTATCCGGGGAGGCCCTGCTCGCGATCCCACCTGCGTCGCAGGCGTGTTTGGTGGGGACGAGGGACAGGGCCTTCTCTGTGGTTGCCCCCCGACTCTGGAACACCCTCCCCAAAGACATTAGACTAGCACCCTCGTTGGCAGTCTTTAGGAAGAATCTGAAGACCTGGCTGTTCCAATGTGCCTTTCCGGAATAGGATAACCTCCAGCACTACGTCCCAGAAGCACTTTATTAGAGTTTAAGACTCTCTGCACATTGCACTTGCCCAGAAATCCAACATACCACCTGCCACACCCAGCACTTTTTAACTTGTAGCCATCATTGGCCTGGTTCTGGTTTTTTATTGCGTAATGATGTAATGTTTTGTTATTGCTTATGTTTTTAATTTGCTTTAAATTGTATTGTTATTGTTTTGCTGTTGTTGTGTTGAGGCCTTGGCCTTTGTAAGGCGCTTTGAGTCCTGCGGGAGATGCTAGCAGGATACAAATAAAGTGTATCATTTAAAGCCCATCCGTTGCTCCTTCGAAGGAAATGGCTACCATTGCTGCTCACTTACCTCTGAAAACCATGTTGGTCTTGGGCAGTGTGAGCTGATAACCAAAGGCAAAACTCGTGTCCTGCAGTCGAGTGTTTGCCTCAAATTCCACCCCAACCTGGATCTACAAAGGGGAGGGACAAAGATGTTGGGTGAAAAACTAAGGAAAGTTGGGAAGCGGGGAGAAGCACACTTTTGGTTTTGGACTCACCTGGTCATTGGCCCGATGGTAGTAGCTGGCGTGGGCCCCACCGTAGCCAAGGTTAAGGGTGGCTATCCATTTGAGAGCTAAAGGGGTGGAAGCAGGAGGGGAATTAGGTGGGTATAAACAATTTCTTCCAGATGTTTCATAGATGTATGCCACACCCAAAAAAATAGGACTAATGTATAAAAATATGAAGAAAAATTGTTGGAAGTGTCATGACCTTGATGGTAGTTTCTTCCATATGTGGTGAACATGTAAAGAAGCTCAAAAATATTGGAAGGACATACACGAAGAATCCCAAAAAATATTGGGAATATTATTCCCAAGAAAACCAGAGTACTATTTATTAAATATTACTGACTCAGATCTTACCTTGGACCAAAACAAAGATATTTTATTTACCTATATTTCAACTGCAGCAAGAATATCACATGCGAAACTTTGGAAAACGGACAAAACTCTGGAAGTAGACGATTGGATAAATAAAATACACGAAATTAGAGACATGGACAAACTAACTTTTTATTAAAGAAAATTTCAGGAACTCCAATAAAAGGGACAGATTGGTTGTCCTTTGGGAAATATGTGAAAGAGAAGAGACAGAGTGACAGTATTTAGCAACATTTTTTTGGGGGGGTCTTTTTTTCCCTATCAGTTTATGATTTTATTATCTTTAATACATTTATCTCTGTCTTTTTCCTTGTTTATGATTGAAAAGGAGTTTTTAGAGGGAAATGAAAAGTAATAAAAATAGTTAAATAAGTAAGTAATTTAGGACACAGAATGGAAATCAAAGGACCTTTTTTTTGCATATCTCCACTTACTCTTAATATATTCCTACTTTCCTATAAATTTGGTGTTCTCCCACTTTCTATGTAAATTGCTTGGCCGCTGTGACGGTCTGGATGGGGGCGAACAAATTGAAATTGAATCCAGACAAGACAGAGGTACTCCTGGTTAGTCGTAAGGCCGAACAGGGTACTGGATTACAGCCTGTGTTAGATGGGGTCGCACTCCCCCTGAAGACACAGGTTCGCAGTTTGGGGGTGATCCTGGATTCATCGCTGAGCCTGGAACCCCAGGTCTCGGCGGTGACCAGGGGAGCCTTCGCACAATTAAAACTTGTGCGCCAACTGCGACCGTACCTTGGGAAGTCTGACTTAGCCACGGTAGTCCACGCTCTGGTTACATCCCGCCTTGATTACTGCAACGCTCTCTACGTGGGGTTGCCTTTGAAGACAGTCCGGAAGCTCCAGTTAGTCCAACGGGCGGCAGCCATGATTCTAACAGGAGCGGGGCGCAGGGAGCATACAACTCCTCTGCTGCACCAGCTCCACTGGCTGCCGATCTGCTACCGGGCTCAATTCAAAGTGCTGGCTTTGGCCTTTAAAGCCCTAAACGGTTCTGGCCCAACTTATCTATCCGAATGTATCTCAGCCTATCAGCCCACCAGGACCCTAAGGTCTTCTGGAGAGTCCCTTCTCTCTATCCCTCCAGCTTCAGAAGTGCGGCTGGCGGGAACGAGAGACAGGGCCTTCTCTGTGGTGGCCCCCCGGCTTTGGAACACCCTCCCTATAGAGGTACGATCAGCCTCTTCGCTGATGGTGTTTAGGAAGAGATTGAAAACATGGTTGTTCAAACAAGCATTCGGCTAATCTGTGGCAATCGAATTCTGGTGACTAAGGACAGGAAAATATGGACAACGAATTCTGGACTGTGATTTCAACTCGAGATATATGGGATTATTATTGGTGGCCCAATAATTTGTTATTGTATGTGTATATGTTTTAAATTGGAGATTGTTTTTAATTGCTGTAAACCGCAGTTGAGTCGCCGATCCAGGCTGAGAAATTAGCGGTATACAAGTGTACCAAATAAATAAATAAATAAATAAATTTCAACAAAATGTTCATATTTCTTTGTGTGTATATAATACAATAAATATAATACAATAAAAATCTTTTTTAAAAAACACACAATTTCTTCCAGAAAGAGAAGAAAGGAATTTTTTTTCCAACTAGGTTTTAGATCAGACATTTAAAACTCAAGAGATGTGATGCAGGATACACCTTGCAGATTTTTGAAGTTTAATTCTCACTACTAACATTGTTCATTTACATCAGTTTCTCAACCTGGGGATGAGGACCCCTGGGGGGGGGGGGTTGTCGCAAGGGGGTTTCAGAGGGGTCACCAAAGCCCATCAGAAAACATATATTTCTTTTTTGTTTTAAGGATCAACCAATGGAAGATCAAAGTTTATCTATTTTTCTACCAGCATACAAAACCATATTGCACATCAAACAACAAAACAAAAATAAAAATACTCTAAGGACTAACATATGTAGTTTATACAGAATAAACTTTCTGGAAATTGATCTTTTCAGTAGTTCTGGTTTTGTCTTATACGGGTATGACTATTTCAGCTTAAATGTTTTAACTAAAGCTGTGTTTGATTTTTAAATGCTGTACAGTTTAATAAATAAATCAAACAAAGCCTCAATAAAGTAAACAAATAAATGTAGAACAGTCACTGCCAATGTCACCCAATATCCCTGTGGGTTGAGAATTTAATAAATATATTCCAGTGTGGTCTACAGTTTCCCCCCACTACATACAGAATTTAAAAAACATGTATTAAAACAGACCAATTTCCAGGCTAAACTAAAGGAGAAATTACAGTTCTATATCTATATAAATAAAAATGTAATGTTCGTTTGTGATATTAACAGAACTCAAAAACCACTGGGGGAATTGACACCAAATTTGGACACAACACAGCATTCAGAGCAATCTATGTCCTGCACTCTAAAAAATTCCTCCCAAAAAACAGTAAGACCTTAAATTTTAAAAGAGAACACTGCGCATGCGTTCAAATGAACATTACATTTTTATTTATATAGATTGTTATGTAGCGACACTGTATCATTACTAAATGTAAGCCGTCCTGAGTCCCCCTTCAGGGGTAGAGACGAGACGGGGTAGAAATACCAGAAATAAATAAATAAGGCATGAAGGTTCTGTGTGGGAAGTTTTTGGCCCAATTCTACTGTTGGTGGGGTTCAGAATGCTCTTTGATTGTAGGTGAACTATAAATCTCAGTAACTACAACTCCCAAATGTTAGGGTCTATTTTCCCCAAACTCCACCAATATTTGCATTTGGGCATATTGAGTATTTGTGCCAAGTTTGGTCCTGACCCATCATTGTTTGTGTGCTGGTACGGCTGTACCAGGAGCTTCAGTTTTATTTGCTTTGTATTAAATGTTTGCTTGCAGTCCTAGGTTTCAGGGACTCTGCAGATAGGTGGCTTCCTTTGGTTGCAAGTCATAGGGCAAGTCACCTGTCCATTATCGTTAAGTTTTGGTTCCACCCCTTGCTCAGGGCAATTGGGAAGGGAAGGGAGCCATTTTAGTTAGTCTCAGCAAGGAAAGCTAATGTACAGGACGTGTGCAAGCTTCCCCTGTACAAAAGCTTCAACCCTTAAGACCTTCCGGGGAGAACAGTCTTAAGAGTCTCCAAAGATTTCCAGGGAAACAGCCCTAAAGACCAAAGAACTCCAGCTGGAGAACATCTAAGCCTTTACTGGTAGGTCCACTCGGCGTTCGAGAAGCAGTTCGACCCGGTAGCGGAGCCCACATCAGTAAGGGTTAGATTACAGTCAGCCTGGGAGAAGTTAAAAAGAGGACTTTCCTTTAAAGTAAAGAAGAAGTTATTGAAGACAGTTGCCTGTCCTTTATGGGCAAGATTAGGAAGCCACCAGTTGCATAAAGCCTGGAATCATTTGTTTAACTTTACTGAAGACAAGAGAAGTTTCTGTTTGATTGTTCATTAATAAAAAACTTTGTTATACTTCACAAGCCATCTAAAGATCATTTGTGGTGGAAAACCTCTGAGAACTTCTCCTTGGGCCCCCTGGCTTCCTGCTGGGCAAAGGTTGCACATCCTGTTCTAAAGGAAATTCTTTACAGACCCAGTGCACAACAGAACAGTTTGATTCCACAGTGCTCTATGAATGTAGATGAACTACAACTCCAGAACTCAAAGGTCAATGCCCACCAAACACGTCTAGTATTATCTTTTGGTCATGGGAGTTCTGTGTGCCAAGTTTGGTTCAGTTCCATCAATGGTGGAGTTCAGAATGCTCTTGGATTGTATGTGAACTATAAATTCCAGCAACTACAACTCTCAAATATTGCAATATTCCTGCTTCTTGTCAGGGGGTTGGACTGGATGGCCCATGAGGTCTCTTCCAACTCTTTGATTCTATGATTCTATGATACTATGAAATGACAAAATCAATCCACGCCAACCCCATAATGATTCAAATTTGGGCAGATTGGGTATTTGTGCCAAATTTGGTCCAGTGAATGAAAATACATCCTGCATATCAGATATTTACATGACCATTCATAACAATAGCAAAATTATAGTTACAAAGTAGCAACGAAAATAATGTTATGGTTGGTGGTCACCATAACATGAGGAACTGTCGTGGGATTAGGAAGGCTGAGAAACACTGAATTCAATGCAAAACCTTTCAGTATGTTCATTTTTATGCGAAAGCTCTTTCAGTTGTGATTTTAATGGAATCTTTAGGAAAGGTCTCTACAGATACTGACAAAAGGAGTCTGTGGGAAGGGGAACGGTTCTCTTGTAAGAGATTTCACTCCAGTTCTACAGCAAATGGGACCAACCTGTGTATTTCCCAGCCAAGGTGACAATGGCTCCCTCTTCTCCCAGTCGCCGGTGGTAGACCATTTCGCCTCCCAGGACCAGCCGTGATGTGACGCTCTGCAGGAAGTGCGCAACTACAATAACTGAAGAGAGGAACACATTCAGTTCATTCTCCCAAAAGGCAATCCTGCGTTTTAATAATAAAGAATAATAATAAACTTTATTTATACCCCGCCACCATCTCCCCTCAGAGACTTATTTTGCATAGAATAATGGAAAAAATAGACCCATGTCTGATTCCACAGCAAGCTGGCTTCAGGAAAGGCAAAAGCTGCACATCGCAAGTGCTGAACCTGACTCAGCACGTAGAAGATGGCTTTGAAAGGCAGCAGATCACAGGAGCTGTCTTCATAGACCTGTCAGCAGCCTATGATACTGTGAACCACCGCCTCCTCCTGAGAAAAATGTATAATATCACAAAGGACTACCACCTCACCCGCCTCATAGGAAACCTGCTACAAAACAGGAGCTTTTTTGTTGAGTTCCAGGGCCAGAGAAGCAGATGGCGGAAACAGAAGAACGGCCTGCCTCAGGGGAGCGTGCTTGCTCCATCCATGTTCAACATTTACACAAATGACCAGCCACTGCCAGAAGGGACAGAGAGTTTCATCTATGCTGATGATCATGCCATTACCGCTCAAGCTTGTAACACTATCAAAAGATCAGATGAGTCTGGCATGACTTGTTTTTGATAAATCCATGTTGACGTTTTGATAAATCCAAGAGCTGTTCAACAGTGGAAACCCCTTTCTTGGAGACTTCTAAACAGAGGTTGGATGGCCATCAGTCAGGGGATCTTTGACTGTGCTTTTCCTGCCTAGCAGGGGTTTGGACTAGATGCCCAAGTGGTCTCTTCCAACACTATTATTTATTTATTTACACCATTTCTACCCCGCCCTTCTCACCCCCGAGGGGGGACTCAGGGCGGCTAACACAAGCAGCAATTCAATGCCACAATATCAGTAACACAATGTAAAATCATAATATATAGCAAATTAAAAACAGTAACATTAATTATAATCACATAATCACATAGCCATATAATCACATAGTCACACAGTCACAAAATCACATAATCACATAGCCGTTTCCAATTGTCGTAACAGTCCTGTGGTCCAGGTTCAGTGTCTAAAGTGCTGCTGTGCCCACTAACGAAAGGCCTGACTCCACAACCACGATTTTAGTTTTTTTCTAAAAGAAAGGGGGGAGGACGCCGATCTGATCTCGCTGGGGAGCGAATTCCACAAGTGGTGGGCCACCACTGAGAAGGCCATGTCCCTCATCCCCACCAGACACGTTTGTGAAGCCGGTGGGACTGAGAGCAGGGGCTCCCCAGTAGATTACGAGGTGGAATGTTCAGACAAGTAAGCTGGGTATTATCCTATAATTCTATGAATGGAGAGCATGATAGACACAATAACAACTCCTACAAAAGTTTGCCCTTCCATGTTGGCAGTCACTCACTCACTTGACTCGCTGATCAAGTTGGGGTTTCCCAGCGTCAAGGTGGCCGTGTAGTCGTCTCCGCGGTATTCCGTATCAAACTGCCACGTCACAAATTTGGACTGCTGAGTCTGAAAACATTCATAAATGGGGGCGAACATTCAGCATGGATGTACTTACAATAGATTTACAACTCAATGTTCAGAGATGCTTCTATGACCAGACTGCACCACTTTACGAAAGCGCTACAACTGATCAGCTTGCCATGCAACAACCGCACGAGAGACATTACCTGGAACACAGCCTTGGTTCGGATCTGCTCTGCGAGAAGGTAGAGCACTTGAGCATTGAGGCTCCCAGTGTTGTTAATATCCCCGACGAGTGTTGGAAAGGTCTGCATTGGAGAGAGGGAGAAAAACAGAATGAACCAGAAAGCCAGATCCAAGAGCACCTGGTGCTACCATTTTGAGTGAGACAATGCCAAAAATATACCATCAGAAGTATTTGGAGCAGGAGAAAGAAAGGCAAAAAGAGCACACTTTGCTTTCTATAAGCAAAAAGATTACAAAGGGCCTTGAAGGTTTTGCATAATAATAATGAATCCATCAATCAATCAATCAATCATTATTATTATTGTTCTTGTTGTTTTCTTACCCGCCTCTCCTCATGCCTCGAAGTGAGTCACAGCACAAACATTACAAAAATTCTAAAAACACACCTACTAATCAAGGTGGCCAACTGCAACATTCACACCTGCCTCCAACAGACAAGAGCTCTTTCTCCCAACCTGGGCATTCCACAGACATTCCAATATACCTCACAACCTCTGAGAATGCCTGTTGCTTCAGACCTGGCCATGGCACCGAGACGGCTTTGGTCGCCTTGGTGGATGACCTCCGTAGGGAGCTGGACAGGGGGAGTATGACCCTTTTGGTTCTCTTGGACATCTCAGCGGCTTTCAATACCATCGATCATGGTATCCTTCTGGGACGACTCTCCGGGATGGGCCTTGGAGGCACGGCTTTGTCGTGGCTCTGGTCCTTCCTGGAGGGTCGCTCCCAGATGGTGAAGCTGGGAGACGCCTGCTCGGACCCCTGGCCTTTGACCTGTGGGGTCCCGCAAGGCTCCATTCTGTCTCCCATGCTTTTTAACATCTACATGAAACCGCTGGGAGAGGTCATCCGGAGTTTTGGAGTTGGGTGCCATCTCTATGCAGATGACACACAACTCTACTACTCTTTTCCACCTAACTCCAAGGAAGCCCCTCAGGTGCTGGACGAGTGCCTGGCCGCTGTGGCTGTCTGGATGAGGATGAACAAGCTGAAGATTAATCCCGACAAGACAGAGGCCCTCCTGGTAGATCGTAAACTAGACCGGGGTATAGGGTGGCAACCTGTGCTGGACGGGGTTACACTCCCCCTGAAGTCACAGGTCCGCAGTTTGGGTGTCCTCCTGGATTCATCACTTACGCTTGAAGCTCAGGCGTCGGTGGTGGCCGGGAAGGCCTTTGCACAATTAAGACTCGTGCGCCAACTGCGACCGTACCTCGTGAAGGCGGATCTGGACCAAAAATAAAAAAGTGATAGTGTGGATCCATAGCCTAGGTTATTCAGCACATCAAAGACTGGCATTCATGATATGACCTCTACATGGGGCTGAAAGTCCCTTGGAAAAACGTGTGATCAGAATTATCCAGTAATGGTCCAATGGGCGGTCTGCCAGGTATGTATAAACACGGAAAGAGCTACCTTACGAGGGAGGACGGAAAGTCAACACACTAACCATGTTATAGAGAGCTCCACTAATGACTTGACCATTCGATTTATTACCGAAAATCAACCCATTCAAGGTGCAGGTTCTTACCTACAAAGCCCTGAATGGTTTGGGACCTGCCTACCTGCGTGACCGCATTTCTGTGTACAAACCCACACGATCTCTTCAATCATCTGGAGAGGCCCTACTCACGCTCCCACCTGCATTGCAAGTACGATTGGTGGGACAAGAGAGAGGGCCTTCTCGGTGGTGGCCCCTCGACTCTGGAACTCACTCCCTAAGGACATCAGGCATACCCCAACTCTGGTAGTCTTTAGGAGGAGCTTGAAAACGTGGTTGTTCCAGTGTGCCTTCCCAGAATAATGATCCCATAAGCACTTTGTCCTCCAAAGCACTTTATATTGTTTTAGGTCTGCTTGTATGTTTCCACAAATGCCCCATCACTTTTTCGCCCATGTCCAGCATTATTTTTAATTTTAATTACATTTGGCCTACCCATAGATTTTAAAGTGTGTTGTCCTATTGATAATGCTTATGTATTGTTTTACTGTTTTGTTGTTTTAAATTGCTTGTATTGTTGTTATTGCTTGTATTGTTGTATTTTGGGCTCGGCCTCATGTAAGCCGCACCGAGTCCCTTGGGGAGATGGTAGCGGGGTACAAATAAAGTGTTATTATTGTTGTTGTTGTTGTTGTTGTTGTAGATGTGGATGAAACGTCAGGAAAGAATGCTTCTGAACATGGCCATACAGCCAGGAAAACTCACAGCAATGCAATGATTCTGGCCATGAAAGCCTTCAACAAGACATGTTTAAAATGTTTTGGTTACATCACATCTGGCACTTCAAAAAGCCGGGAGGCATTATATATGATCTGGGCATTCACAAGTGCATCACCAGGCACATTTCCTCTAGTAAGCAAAGGTGACACAAATCATCCTCAGGAATTAATACTGCAACTCCCAGTTTCCTCCTTCTCCATTCTATCCTTCACTCACCTCCGTTGGGCCTAGCTGCTGGTCCCCGACATACGTTGCACTGAAGTGGTAACTCGACTGGCCAATTGTGCTCATATGGATAGTGTGGGTCACCTGGAGAAAGATGACAAACAACAGCATTCAGCAGCCAAGACTTTTTTCTAAGAAGTATATCCTCCTCTTCTTTGACATGAAGAAGCGTAGAAATATTCTCTTCCCCTTTAAAAAGAGAAAGCTACACATCAACAAGTTACATTAAGAAGGGTCAAAATCACCATGTCTGCAGCTTTCACAATAACAGGAAGGGCAGTGCCAACTTGCTTGTTTTCTTTTTTAAAAATGTTTTGGTTACTTTAGGTATTTTAAAATTCCAAAACATGCAGAAGCATACAAAAAGCTCGGCCTGTCATTGAACATCGAGAAAACCAAAGTGCTCTTCCAGCAGTTCAATCTTAGAACAACCCCTCTCCAATGCCAGAGATACAGCTTAATGGTGTAACATTAGAAAATGTGGACCATTTTCGCCTCCTTGGCAGCCACCTCTCCAGCAAAGTCAACATCGACACCGAAATACAACACCGCCTGAGCTCTGCGAGTGCAGCATTTTCCCGAATGAAGCAGAGAGTGTTTGAGGACCGGGACATCCGTAGGGATACCAAGGTGCTTGTCTATAAAGCTATTGTCCTCCCAACCCTGCTCTATGCCTGCTAAACATGGACTGTCTACAGACGTCACATGCAACTCCTGGAACGATTCCATCAGCGCTGCCTCCGGAAAATCCTGCAAATCTCTTGGGAAGACAAGCGGACAAATGTCAGCGTGCTGGAAGAAGCAAAGACCACCAGCATTGAAGCGATGGTCCTCCGCCATCAACTCCGCTGGACCGGCCACGTTGTCCGGATGCCCGACCACCGTCTCCCAAAGCAGTTGCTCTACTCCGAACTCAAGAACGGAAAACGGAATGTTGGTGGGCAGGAAAAGAGATTTAAAGACGGTCTCAAAGCCAACCTTAAAAACTCTGGCACAGACACTGAGAACTGGGAGGCCCTGGCCCTTGAGCGCTCCAGTTGGAGGTCAGCTGTGACCAGCAGTGCTGCAGAATTTGAAGGGGCATGAATGGAGGGTGAAAAGAGAGAAACATGCCAAGAGGAAGGCGCATCAAGCCAACCCTGACCGAGACCACCTTCCACCTGGAAACCAATGACCTCACTGCAGAAGAAGTGGCAGATCAAGAATAGGGCTCCACAGCCACATACGGACCCACAAGAATACTATCCTGGAAGACTATCCTACTCAGACAACGAGGGATCGCCTAAGTAAAAGTAAGTATAATATTATAATGTAATACAATATAATACTAATAATACTATGATATTATAATTATATATTTTATACTACATGTAATATTTTTAATAATATTACAATGTAGTGGTATAGTACAATATATGTAATGTATAGCAATATATAATACCTTTCCCAGCTGAACTGTTTAAAATCTTGAAAGATGATGCTGTCAAGGTGATGCATGTCATATGCCAGCAAATATGGAAAACACAAGAGTGGCCATCAGACTGGAAGAAATCAACTTATATCCCCATACCAAAAAAAGGGAAATGCTAAAGACTGTTCAAACTTTCATACAGTGGCCCTTATTTCTCACGCCAGTAAGGGAATGCTCAAGATCCTGCAAGGAAGACTCCAGCAAGACATGGAGAGAGAGTGGCCAGATGTTCAAGCTGGGTTCAGAAAAGGCAGAGGAACGAGAGACCAGATTGCCAATATCCGGATGCTGGAGAATGGAGAAAGGCAGGGAGTTTCAGAAAAACATCTCTTTCTGTTTCATTGACTATTCTAAAGCCTTTGACTGTGTGGATCATAATAAATTGTGGCAAGTATTTGGTGGAATGGGGATACCAAATCACCTTGTCTCTCTCCTGAGGAATCTGTACAAGGACCAAGTCGCAACAGTCAGAACTGACCATGGAACAACAGACTGGTTCAAGATTGGAAAAGGCATACAGCAGGGTTGTATCCTCTCACCCAACCTATTCAACTTGCATGCAGAACACATCACGCGATGCGCAAGGCTTGACGAATGCAAGGCTGGGGTAAAAATTGCTGGAAGAAACATTAACAACCTTAGATATGCAGATGACACCACTTTGATGGGCGAAAGCAAGGAGGAGCCGAGGAGCCTTCTAATCAAGGTGAAAGAAGAAAGCGCAAAAGCTGGGTTGCAGCTAAACATAAAAAAAACCAGGATTATGGCAATAAGAATGACTGATAACTGGGAAATAGAGGGAGAAAACGTGGAGGCCGTGACAGGGTTTGTATTTCTAGGTGCAAAGATGACTGCAGACGCAGACTGCAGTCAGGAAATCAGAAGGCATTTACTTCTTGGGAGGAGAGCAATGACCAATCTCAACAAAATAGTGAAGACAGAGACATCACACTGGCAACCAAGATCCACATAGTTAAAGCAATGATATTCCCCATCATCATCTACGGATGTGAGAGCTGGACCATAAGGAAGGCTGAGTGGAGGAAGAGAGATGCTTTTGAGCTGTGGTGTTGGAGGAAAGTTCTGAGAGTGCCTTGGACTGCGAGAAGATCCAACCAGTCCATACTTCAGGAAATAAAGCCTGACTGCTCATTGGAGGGAAGGATAGTAAATATTAGAGACAAAGTTGAAGTACTTTGGCCACATCATGAGAAGACAGGAAAGCTTGGAGAAGACAATGATGCTGGGGGAAATGGAAGGAAAAAGGAAGAGGGGCCGACCAAGGGCAAGATGGATGGATGGCATCCTTGAAGTGACTGAATTGACCTTGAAGGGGGTGGTGACGGCCAACAGGGAGCTCTGGCGTGGGCTGGTCCATGAGGTCACAAAGAGTTGGAAACGACTGAACAAATGAACAACAATACTGATATTGTACTATGCTAATAATATAATATATTGTGTGTGTGTGTGTGTGTGTGTATCCTGTAAGTTGCTCTGAGTCCCCTTCAGGGTGAGAAAGGCGGCATATAAATGTCATAAATAAATAAATAAACATAATACAATGGTCTTAAAGCATCTTCCATTCCCGGATCTATGCCTCCAACCCTCCCATTACTAACACAACATTACAAAAAATACAGCATTGTCAATTCTATCTAATCTATATCATTCAGTTTTCCCTTTACTTATTGTCATGTGTTTATTAATCTCTCTTGGACTTCTTGTGGTTTACATTTACCGTTGCTTTTACACGTGAAACTAATAAATGGTTCACAAGTGTTATCAAATTGTTTGTTTGGTCTTCATAGACCTGTCAGCAACTATTTATTTATTTATCGTGTCAGAAGCAAATTGAGGGTACAGTTAAAATGCATTTAAGAACACAAACAACGTTTTTTTTAAACTTGGCATTATGCTATAGCTGCTTACAGATCATTGCCTTCTTCTGAGAAAAATATATGCCGGTAATATCACAAAGGTCTACCACCTTACCCACTTCAGGAAATCTGCTACAAAACAGGAGCTTTTTTGTTGAGTTCAAAGGCCAGAGGAGCAGATGGTGAAAATAGAAGAACGGCCTGCCTCAGGGAAGCATGCTTGCTCCATCAATGTTTAACATTTACACAAAGGACCAGCCACTGCCAGAAGGGACATAGATCTTCATCTATGCTGATGATTGTGCCATCACCGCTCAAAAAGACGCTCTCCAAAGCTTTCAGTGCTCTTACTGCCTATTTCAGGAAAAAACCAGCAAATTCTTAATCCATCTAAAATGCAGACATGTACTTTTCACCTTAAATTTATTTATTTATTTATTTATTTATTTATTTATTTAGAACAGACAAGCATCTCAAGCTCTGAGGATTACCTGGGAAGGAATCTCACTGGAGCATTGCAGCACACTCAAATACCTGGGAGTCACTTTGGACCGTGCTCTGACTTATAAGAAGCACTGCTCAAATAGCACGCAATATTGTGTGCTAGAAATGATATGATACAAAAGCTGACTGACACAACCTGGGGATCACAACCAGACACAATGAAGACATCTACCCTTGTGTTTTGCTATTCTGCTGCTGAGTACGCATGCTCAGTGTGGAATACATCTCACCACACTGAAACAGTGGATGTGGCTCTTAACGAGACATGCTGCATTATCACAGGATGTATACACCCACACCATTGGAGAAAATACACTGTTTAGCCAGTATTACACCACCTGACATCAATCCGGATCTCAGTAATGAAAGGACCAAGGCAGTGGCATCTCCGGCCCATCATCTGTTCATATATCCGCCACCATGCCAATGTCTTAAGTCAAGAAATAGCTTTCTAAGAGCTACAGAGATACTTGCAGGAACACCTCAGCAAGTGAGAGTCCAAAAGTGGCAGGCTAAAACTTGAAACCTCAATCCGTGGCTGAGACTGGATGAGAATCTCCCTCCTGGGTGAAGACTGGGTGACTTGGAAGGCACCACGAGATGCAGAGCCAACCTTAAGAAATGAGGCCACAAAATTGAGTCCATGACATGCGAATGCGGAGAAGAGCAAACCACAGACCACCTACTACAAATGCAGCTTGAACCCCGCCACATGCACATCGGGGGACCTTCTCAAAGCAACACCAGAGGCACTCCAAGTGGCCAGCTTCTGGTCAAAGAAAATCTAGTATAATGCCAAGTTTTTAACTTGGTTTCTGTTTTCTTAAATACATTATAACTGTACCCTCAATTCAATTCTGACATGATAAATACTAGGCAGAACAATTTCAGAACTCTAACAAAATTTTCAAAATTTCATTATAAATGACAGTTACTAATTGGTTCTGTCATAAAACTCGTGACAGAACCAATTATAAATAATGTAAATATTATATTATTATAATAAAAATCATGACAGAACCAATTATAAATAATATAAATATTATATTATTATTTCATTTATATTTATATTATAAAAATAAATGAAATAATAATGAAATTTTTGAAAGTTTTGTTAGAGTTCTGAAATTTTCACCACCAAGAATTTTAGGAACACTATAGAAGCAAAGCACCAGCGCCCCCTAGTTTTCACCACCAGAGTTTTAGTTTTGTAAGTGTGTTAGAACAATTTAGAACAGGGATCCTCAAACTACGGCCCAGGGGCCGGATACGGCCCTCCTAGGTCATTTACCCGGCCCTCGCTCAGGGTCAACCTAAGTCTGAAACGACTTGAAAGCACACAACAACAACAACAACAATCCTATCTCATCAGCCAAAAGCAGGCCCACACTTCCCATTGAAATACTAATAAATTTATATTTGTTAAAGTTATTCTTCATTTTCATTATTGTATTGTTTTTAAGTGTTTTTGCACTACAAATAAGATATATGCAGTGTGCATAGGAATTCATTCGTGTCTTTTTCAAATTATAATCCGGCCCTCCAATAGTTTGAGGGACTGTGACTTGGCCCTCTGCTTAAAAAGTTTGAAGACCCCTGATTTAGAAGCATGGATTGCACATGCCTAATAAACCACTTACTCCTAATCTGCCCCTCCATCAGAGTAGCCTAACATCTATAGTTTATACAACTTGGCCCCAAAATGCTAACATAGTGAACAGCAACAAAGGTACATACCTGAAAATGGCTACTGAAGGATTTGTTTACAATGAGTTTGACTCCTTCCATCTGTTGCGGGAAGACTTCTGGCAGGAGGAAACCAAGAGGAGAAAGAGTCTCAGAAGCAGTGCTTAAGTTTGCTCTCATTTCCTTCTAACTTTCTCAGCAGCAGCTGGTTTTCCTGTTTCTTTTTCTGCTGCTCTAGAGATTAAAGGCCAATGGATTCAAATGGCAGGAACAGAGATGCTACCTAAACATTTGGAAGAACCTCCTGACAATTGGAGATATTTGGCAGTGTAATATGCTGCCTGGGTGTCCAGAAGAATCTCCTTTACCCACAGGCTGGATGGTCATCTGCTGGGAGGGTTTTGATTGTGTCTTTATTTTATTTATTTATTATTCAAACTTATATGCCGCCACTCCCCTGGGGCTCAGAGCGGCTTACAAGAATGGCTA